GAAATGGTTCAGTGTCAACCAATTAGTTTTAGAACAGTGATTCTGTGTATTCTTTCTTTTCTTTTGATACTTCTATGTCATTCAATATTTTGCCCAACTAAAAGTACCAGTTTGGTACTGCAACCCTTGAAATTGTTCTTCAGGCCTTCCAGTTTGGGAAATGCTGAACACGTTCCCTTGTGGCTTTCTACTCAAGGTCTTTACAAAATTCATATAATTCTTTTCTTTGTCTTCTTGAACTGCCCTTTGAAATCTTTATATTCAACTTCATCCTTTCTTCCATTCAATTTAGCTTCTGTATAATTGTTGTTGTTAGCACTTGTAAAATACTGAAATGTTTGTCCTTGCCTATAGACTGAGGGCCGGTGGGTTGTGAGTCTTTGTCCCAGCTGGACCTTTGGAGGGCCTCTCGCATCTTGAAGAGGGACACACATGCGTATGGAATGCTCAGGGATCTTGTGGCTTTCTTTTCGTCCTAAGTGGGTGTCAGCAGAAAGGACTGATGATTTGGGGGTCTCTGGCGCAGAGTCCACCAGCATTTGGGAGTGCTGGAATTGTAAAATATTGACGGGTCCGAGGGCCCTTGTTATTGGTGAATCATTCTTCTAGGTTGTACAACCCTGTTCTGTCCACTTGCTGTGCAGAGGTAACTCATGGTTCCTGTGAAGCTGAACACTGTGACACCGATGTGTTAAATGCAATATTGGTTCCCCATGGTGGACAGTGTTTGGTGGAACTCCTTGATTAAAACAAGCTTGGAAGCAAGAGTGGCATCCACTTCTGAAAGAGCTTGCCTCCAGAAACCCTGTGAACCTGGAGAAAGGATGGAAGTTATACAAGCATTCAGGTCTTTCGTACATAGGGTCACTATGAGTTGCCTACAACTTGACAGCACTTAACACAACAACAACAGCATATTCAAGAACAAGTTTTAGAGTCTCTTCTGACATCCATTTTTGTCTTTTCTTTCTTCTTGTCTTCTCGATGGTCTTCTGCCTTCTTCATGATTCCATCTCACAACTCATCAAGTCTTGATTATTAGGGCTTAACATGTCAAATGTATTTTATTGTTGTTGTTTTTAAAAAATGTTATTTATAGTTCAAATGAGGATGTTGGTTCATTTCAGCGCTTTCACTGCCACCTGTGGGCAGGAACTGCTTCAGTTTCTTGGCTTTCTCTTTGTCTGCAATGACCAGGGTATAAAGGAGGTACCTCCTGCACCAAACCTTAAACTTCACATTATCTTTATTTTTCTTGATCTTGATCTTGACAGATTTGGCATCCTCTCACCTGACAGATAGTCTTTGATTTCATCAATTTTGCAAAGCATGATGACAAAGGATGCAGGTCTGGAGGAGAAATGCCAGTGCCTTTCTTCCCCACACCCTTGACTTACATCTGAGGTCCCCACATCTCACTCAGAGAGGATTACACTAGATCAGTTCATGTCAAATATCTTTTTTTAAACTATAGACTTTCCATTTAAAATAATTAACACTGACTAATCAAATGTAAAAAATGTATAAGATTGTAAGATATTAATAATAGCTGAGTGCTGAGTTTGAAGTGGGAAATATACAGGATTTCAATACTTTACATATGTGTGTATATGTAAGTATATATGTGTATGTATATGTATGTGTATATATGTGTGTATGTATATATGTATGTATATGTATGTATGCATGTGTATTTTAAACTTCTCAAAATATAAAGGTACTTAAGTAATACTTATTTTAAATATTTAAATAAAAGCAGTTCTGGGAAAGCGAGTCACTGGCACTGCCCTTTCACTCTCCAGGGTAGCAGCAGGGGTTATGAGATGGCAAAGGCTCAGCTACTGCTGTGTTCAATCATACATAGGGCCGCTATGAATGTGAGCCAACTTGATGACACCTAACAAGAACAGCCCTGATTCAAGAGGAAAGCTGGGAAGCCAGACTCCAAAGCCTACATACTATATAATCCCATTTTTGTGACATTCTGGAAAGGCAAAGCTCTAGGGACAGAGAACAAATCCATGGTTGCTAGAGCCTAGAGGGGAGGCACAGGTGTTGGCAACAGAGGGGCACTAAGGAACTCTTTAGAGATGATGGAAATATTCTATATGCCCATTTTTGTGAGTTACATGTAACAGTACGTCTTTGTCAAAATTCAATTAATTTTAAGCTTGGTAAACTTTACCACTCATAAATCATGCCTCAGTAAAACAGTTTTTGTTTTTTTTTAAAGGGAGCCCAGGTGGCTTAGTGGTGAGGAGTTGTCCTGCCAACCCAAAGGCAAAGCAGCTTGAATCCACTAGCTGCTCTGCAGGAGAATGACTGGCAATCCCCTCCTGTGTGATTTACTACCTCTGAAAACCCACTGGAGGGACAGCTGTAAGTTGATTCCAACTTGAAGGCACCTAATACCATTATATAGAATTTCAAAAGGGAACTGATAAATCTTGAGATGAAATTTTCACTGTGCGATTCCACTGCAGTGCATGCATGAATATGAACCCCTGGGTTGTTTGACCTTGCCAAAAGGCACATTCCCCACAGTCCACCATTGCACACAGATCTACTGCATCCAGATGTCTGGCTCTATTATGGGTTTTCGGGCAAAAAGCTTCTGTAGTTGTCCAATAAGAAGCTGATTGCTAGGGTTACCTTGGCTTCCTACTTCCCTTCCAGAATCTTCAGAGGTCATACCGTTTTCATGGTAAGACATTCATCTGGTAAATTGCCTTAAGCCAGATTAAACACAACATCACTGTTTTTAACCCACATCTCACATGACATGCATGTCTTTATCTTCATATCTTCTTACACTTGAAGGCCATACCTGCCACTAGTTTAGCACTGAGAAGATAAATTTTCCTAAAAATATTGCTGCAGTTACCACACACTACTAAAAAAAAAAAGTTGTTGTAGTTTAAAACTGAGCCTTTCCAGAAGGCTAACTAACTATACTAGTGTTGTCTATCTGTCCTTCCAACATACGGATTCATTTATCCTCTACATGGTCTTGTACACACGTGGTAAAGGCAGCTCTTTCCCTGATAAGGTCACTCAGTCCCTCTGCTTCCAATCTAAATCCTGTTGTCTGGGGATGATCCAAGGCTTCTGACCAATGTAGCATGATGCAGAGAAAGAACATAAGCTACATAAATGCAGTCTAACATTGAAAATAATCAGATCAGTCATGCAAATTAATAAACACATAGGGTCATGTCCCAAAAGAAAATAAACACACATCACATAGCAAAAGCTGCCAGAAAGAATAGATTTTAAAGGAACAGAAACTAAAGAGCAGCCCCAACCCTGGACTTCTAGAGCCATGTGTGGCTGTTCCGTTTTTCGGAAGGAAGACATTCTACACACCTCCCAGCAACAAGAACGTCTGTCCCCATAAGACTTTTAAAACAAGGATGAACAGGATCAGAAAAAAAGAAGGAAGGAGAGGAAAAGGGAAAAATGAAGATGTTGTTGTTAAGTGCTGTCGAGTCGTAGATGCCTCATAGCAACTCTATGAATGAAAGACATGAACACTTGTATCTTATATAACTTTCATCATTTCTCCAAGTTCATAGGGTTTCTGGAGGCAAGCCATTTCGGAAGTGGATGCCAGTCCTGCTTCCAAGCTTGTTTTAATCGGGTAGCTCCACCAAATACTGTTCATGGAGAAGAAAAACCAAAAAGGAGGGAGACGAGAAGGAAAATGAAAGCCAACATCCCATTCAAAGCACACGTTCACTGTTAGTCAGAAGGTAAGGAAGCAGCATGTTGTTTAAGTAGCCCATCCTATAGATGACGATTGATGAGCAATGACCACATTGACAAAGCACAGGAGCCCACCCAGCTAGGGTTCAGTATACGACATCCTTCCAGAGGCTTCACTCTGTCTCTTCCAGGACACGCTGAGGTTAAGTTTCATTTACTTTTAAGTCCCAGCTTTAAATGAGGGGGTAAAAAATTATATCATTAAAAAGTTGACATGAAACAGTTGATACTACTTAATACAATGTCTCTTAAGTACTCCATTGGCTTTATTACAGAGCCAGAAATGTTATCTTTCATTTTATCACTACCATCTGATTTTCTTATACTCTTAAAATAAAACTTCATGATGGGCAAAAAAAGAAATATTTTCTCTTACAGCTGTCCCACGGAAAACTGGTTAATCTTACCAAAAAATGGAGAAGAAGATAGAGGTAATGGGTTGGTAAATTGGATTTTAATCTTAGCTGCCTTTGCATGAAGACATGAAGATCTACTGAGTCACAGGTGGACAGTGAGGGAAAAGAAAACTCAAGTGTCTTATTGGCAGATCAATTTGAGATGGATTTTCAGCATACAATTTGTCCAGAAAGTGCAGAGCCTTCTACAGATATATATGCAAACTGCCAAACTTACATATCTCACAGACTTACACTTGCATACAGCCAAACCCACATACAAAGCGAGCATTTGTTTAGAAAAATAAAACTGACAGTTTGGTCCCTCAAGGACTTTCATCTACTTGTAAGTGAGAGGCAGTTCTACTCTGTCCTAAACCATTGAACTGAGTCAAGATTGACTCTTGACAACAGGTTTGGGTTTGGTTTCATTAACTCTGAGGTTCCTTGTAGTCAGGGGAGAATGTGCTGTGCTGTCTGGAGGAGAACCAGTCTTTGAAAGCTTTATTTCATACAAAGAATCCCTGGGAAACTCTATGCATTATCTCTGAATGCCTTAATTTCCAAATATCACTTCACTGTGGGCTTCACTGAGCCCAGAATGGTCATGTATCTGACAACTTCGTCCTGAAAGACTCACTTCAATTGGAAGAAGTATCACAGGACACAGAAAACTTTCAAGAAAACTCATTAAATGGCAGAAACTCCCTACATCCCTGGTGCGGCAGAATCTTACTCCCAGATGGTACAACTGACCAAGCACTTGTATAACTCTCTTTGCAGATAAGTCAATAAAGTCAACAAGGGAGACTATTCCTCAACAAACATTTTATTTCTCTCTCACCCCAACACCAGCACACTTTCCTTGGGTTCTTGGTGGAAGATAAGATCATAATTCAGAAGGTAGCCATCGTTATATACATAAAGTTTCTGGTCATAGGGGTGGTAGTTAATGCTCTGCACTGTTTCCTGCATCTTCTGCATGGTGATGGCAAGCTGGCCCTCCTTCCCTGTGTTTGTGTCATAGTAGTAAAAAATCTCTTCTTTTCTGGTGTTTAGAGTACGAGTGGCATACAAAACGCCACATACCATGAAGGTGTTAGAAACAGATGGTTTATACTGCTTGGTCTGCCAAGTGTTTAACACTTCCAATGTGGTGTCATTGAGTTTACTAATCACTATGTTACCAGTGCTGGCTTCAGTGGCATAAATCACCCACAACCCATTCTCGTCCACAGCAAAGTCAATATCTTGCCAAGGAACATTAGCATATGAAAAGCGGTTATTATAGGCAGCATTGGGTAGAGCGCGCGTCAGCGTCACTGTGTTGCTGGTCAAGTTGAGTTTGGACATCTGCTGAGTATTATACCAGTTGACATACATGTTATTTTTGTAGACTACAGTACCACTGCCCTGGCCATATTTTAACCGATTCTGTTGGTTATACTTGTACAACAGCAAATCATCCCATGTGTTATAGATCCTATAATATTCCAGGTATCTCCCATCTGTATTCAAAGGCGCCACCCAATAGAGCCCTCCGTCTGGGTGCTGAGGGGAGTAATCCCGACCCCAAGCACCATACCTATAGGAAAACCCCAACCAGTTGAGTCGAACTACGAATGGCTTGCTGATGTTCACCACGCCACTGTGGCCACAGCTCCCTAGAAAAAGCAGAGAGAAGACAGGCTTAGAGCAAAGAAGTGGCAACATGAACATGTCAACATCCTAAGAAGGAAAGTCACCTCTGAATCCATTCTGAGTCATGGTGACTCCGCACATGTAGGAATAGAACTGTGCTCCGTAGAGTTTTTAGCAACTGGATTTTTAGAACTAGATCTCCAGGCCTTTGTCCCAAGGCACATCTGAGTAGACTTCAACCCTCAGCCTTTCAATTAGCTGTCATGTGTGTTAACCATTTGCATCACCTGGGTACTTCTCTTAAAAGAAATGGTGGTGGTGTGTGCCATCGAGTGGGAACTGACCCATAGCTGTCTCTCCAGTGGGTTTTCAGAGACAATAAATTGCACAGGAAGAGACTGTCTATCCTTGTGTGGAACAAGCTGGCGGATTCTAACCTTTGGGATTGCAGCGCAGCTTCTTACCGCTAGATCAATTCCTCAATGCATCCTGTCATGACAGATCACTGGGGTGTTCTGACAGAAAGGAACCAAAACCACCACTGTGTTTCAATGCAAACCTTTGTGGCACCCACAAGAGTGGCGTGATGTCTCTAAGTGCAGGCTTTTCATCTAGAAAACGGGGGCGATCCAGCTACCAAGGTTGCAGTGCAGCTTCTTGCCACTAGGCCACCAGAGCTCCCTAACCACCAAGAGCTATCTGGAAAAGGAAATTGGTGAATTCAGGTATTTATTTTCCTTCTACGAAAAAGCACTTTGTGCATAAGATCTTCTTTAATTTGTCTACAAAGAAATAAAAAACTCAAGATCACTCAAGAACCCTAAACTGTATTTATATAAAACCAGAAGGGTCTCTTAGCAGAGCCAGGCCAGGAAAATGTGCCATGAAGGAGGAGCTCGTACTGGGCAGTCTCCACATCCTTCCCTTTGCTGCCCTTCCCTGTACTCTAAGTTCACAGTCATGCCAGGGACCAATCCTACTCCAGACTCACCTCAGAAAAGAACATAGTCACGGCATGAATTGTGTCTCCCCAAAGTGTATGCTGGAATCTTAACCTGTGTCTCCTCCTCTAAAGGTGATATGATTGAGTAGCTGTGGGTATAGTCCTGTTTGGGAATAGGGTTTGTTGTTGTTGTTATGTTAGGGAGACCTTATCATTGTAGAGTGTGGCCTCTACATAACCATGTCTGAGTTATAGAAATAGTAGACTTGACACAAAGATGTAAGGAAGACAGATGCCAGGAGAAGAGCCTCTGCAAGACAAAAACAAATAAAAGCCAGAGCTGCGGAAGCAGAATGGTCCTTCAGGGCCAGAGCCAACATCTTGAATTTAACGCATCGACTATGAAAAGGACAAATGAGGAAGTTCTTGGTGCTCCTTAGAGGCAAGAGCGGTAAAATTTCACGTCACATACTTTGCACACTTTATCAGCAGGGGCCAAAATCTTTGGAAAAAGATGTGCTGGGAAAGCTAGAGAGTCAGAAAAAGAGGGTCTTTAAAAAGATAGGTGCAGTACCTGACAATGGACTTGAGTATAGTAGAGATGATGAGGATGGCACAGGAAAGGGCAGGGTTCAGATCTGTCATTCCTAGGGTCACTGTGAGGAGCAGTCAACCCAACTAACAACAACAGCAGCCAGTAAGAACATGAACTTCTGTCTTTAGAGTGTCCCTGCTTTGTGGTGTTCTGCTACAGCAGCACTAAAAAACTTAACTGTTATTAACTGTTACAACTCTTGTTATTGCTGGGTGTCACTGAGTCGAATCAGCCCTAGCTGACCCTCCAGCAGGTTTTCAGAGGCTGTAAATCTCACAGGAGTTTGCCTATCCTTCTTCCAAGGAGTTGTTGTTATTGTTGTTGTTGATTGCCATTGAGTCAAGCACAACTCATAGCGACCCCATGAACAAAAGCCCTGAAGCCTTTCTATAACTATCATCATTTATCAAAGTTCATGGAGTTTCCAGAGGCATGTTGTTTAGGAAATGGATGGCACCCTTGATTCCAAACCTGTCTTAAACTGGGAGCTCCATCAAACACTGTCCACCATGGGGAACCATTATAGAATTTAACATCTCAGTGGAGCAAGGTATCACAGCAACCCCAGGTTACCAGAGTAGCTGGTGGATTTGAACCGCGTGCCTTCGAGTTGGCAGCACAATTCCTTGGCTTGGTGTTAAGAATCTGTGCTGCAATCCCAAAGGCATGTGATCTAAATCCACCAGCTGCTTGCTGTGCAGGAGATGGATGAGCAATCTCCTCCCATGAGATTTATTGCCTTTGCAAACCCACAGAGGGTCAGTTATGAGTTGGTTCCAAGTCTGTGGTTCACAACAACAAGACTGTTTTTAAATGCAGTAATCTAAAAATGGGCATGTGTTGTCATTCCTGAAAGAGTCCAAAAGGCCATGGAAGTTATTTTAAGGTACCGTTGCCTGTTCCGTGCATAGCCCATTGCAGGAGGAATGGGCTGAGTTGCATCTTGCTGTGCCTAACCTGTACCCACCACTGCGCCTCTGAGTGACAGGCAAGTATTTCATCTTTCTCCTTCTAGCATTGTCATGGCCACGATGTGTGCAATCAAACAGGACCCAGCTTCACTGGCCCATTGAATCTACATTCCCTGCGACACTGGGGAAGATGACAGGCTGGGAAAATGGCCCTTCACATCGCTCTCCCTCTGCTGTGCCTGCCAACACAAACCGTTTATGAGCTATAAAAAATAAAATAGCATTCCTTCAGTATTTTTATAGTGACTATATATGGAGTTGAGCACACATTTTGGGGGATCTTAATGAAGATTGGTGAGATAGTTTATTGGTTAACAAAAAGAAATTTCAAACTCAAGTACACTTGAGGTCACCTTAGAGCAGAGCAGGGTATTGAGTTGTTGAGCCTCATTTTAAGCACTTGGAGAGAGAGCTTGAGGGAGCTGTGGCAAGCTCATAAGGAGCTGTGGCAAGCTCATAAGGTGAGCTGGGGCAAAATCAGAGCTCCAAGGACTTGTCTGCGATTAGTTTACAGGAGATTAGGGAAGCAAAGGGTTTACCTCTGCATCTCTGCCCCTGACTGCTATGGACAGACCATTCCTTTCCTTGCTAAATGCCTTCCCCTTCTGCCCTCCTCATTCAAAGATCACTAGAGGAAAAACCATTACCAGAAACCCTGCTTTTATTTTTCCAATCTGCTGGGGGCTTTCTGGTCCCAGAATTAAATGCGTGCCTCTTAAATGCACTCATAAATCTGCAGTTGGTGGGAAAGCCAGCCAACCATACAACAGGTAGAGAAATGAAACTGCTCTGTACCCAACCTCCAATAATTTTGCATATCATTAAGCAGAACACAGTCTTGGGTTTATTTTAATAATGCATGCGCCATTTCATAAATAAAAAAGGAACACGCGCTCAGCCAAGAGACTGCTTGCCACTAAAGAAATAATAAATAAAATTATAAATTATTATTTCCTCTCCTAAAAGTGATCTCTCAGATGAATGCTTGTTTGCTTTTGTTTATGGAACAATGCATGAATTATTAAAATAAAGTTAGTGGTGTGTTCAGTTTAATGACAACAAAAACTGTTCTAGTTTCCATATGCTACAAACCAGATTTACTAGTCAAAATATCTTCCAAAGGACGTATTCAACCACATTTCACTCGGAGGGAATGAAAGGAAAGAACTACTTCTCTTTAGGTTTAGAAGATCTAGGAATTGTTCATTTAGTTGAGTCTTAACTTACTGGAAAGGAAATATCCCAAACCAGCAGCAGCAAAATATGTAAGGAAAACTTATGATGCATGAATCTTATTTAGGCAGCACCATGAGGTATTAAAACAAACCAAAAACCCCATAAAACTCTCCTTGCCAGCACTGTCTCAGCTGACCCTCCAGCAAGTTTATGTGGGAGGAGATTGTCTGGCTTTCTTCCATGGAGCAGCTGAATCTGAATCACCCACCTGTGGATTGACAGTGCAACTCCTTACACACTGGACCACCAGTGTTCCTCGTCTGAGACATAGATAATTCACCCTTCTGTGTTCAAATGTAGAAATGCTTAGCTATGAAATAATAAAAGAAAATTTTCTTTAAAATATTGTTAGGGAGCTCAAGTGGCCTGGTGGCCTGGTGGCCTGGTGGCCTGGTGGGAAAAAGCTGCTCTATAATCCCGCAGGCACATGGTTCAAATCCACCAGCTGCTCCATGGGAGAAGGATGGGCATTCTCCTCCGATGTGATTAACAGCCTCTATAAACAGCAGGGTCAGCTCTGGGTTGCTTCCAACTCGACGTTACACAACAACTGTTAATAAAGGAAACTGGGTAGAGTAAAGGGTGAGCACTTGGCTGCTAACCAAAAGGTCAGTAGTTAAAAATGACGAGCTACTCTGTGATACTAATGACCTGGGGATATGCTCCCCAAAATCACTGCTTGGGAAACCACAGGGGACAGCTCTGTTCTGCCCTGCCCCACAAGGTGGTCACAACTTGGAGTTAGCTCAACGGCACACAACAATGACAGATAATAATAATAATAACAAGTCATTATTTCATAAATTGGACTAGAAATGAAAGTGTAGCAAATATAAATATTAAAGGTGCATGAAAGAGAAATATTATTTCCTCACCCTAAGCCACTCTCCTATTCTTCCTGACTATCCTCTCTGTACCTTCTTTTCCCTTTGAGACACTTTTAGGACCTTGTCTTTAGTCAAGAATCCCTTGGAGATGCAAACAGTGAGACATTCAGCTGCTAACTGAAATTAGGAGGTTTGAGTTCACCCAGAGAAGGTGCAGAAGAAAGGCTTGGCTTCTACTTCTCAGTCAATCCAAATCCTATAGAGGGCGGTTCTACTCTGACAGCCAGAGTCAGTAAGAGTCAGAATAAGTGGACAGTAACTGGTCCTGATCAAAGGAACCAGCAATGGGAGAATTCTATGTAAACATTATTGCCAATATTACAACTGGGAACATGCAATGACAGACACAGGTTATCAGACTTTTCTTGTCTCCTGCCATCAGTTCTTGGAA